GGGCAGCTCCATGGAGCTCTGGGTTTCTGTTTGGTCTGACAGAGGCAAGAGGCAGGGGATGTGGGCCTGGGGCTGGGGCTGGGGCTGGGGGCTGGGCCACCACCTCTCCTGGTTGACCTTGGACTCCTGGGTCTCCCTTGCTCTGTGCCTCAATCTCCCTGTCTTACTTAGGAAAAGGCTCAGAATTCTCCCCAACTTCCACAACAGAATTCTCTCACATGTCCCACCCACACCAAGCCATGTAGAGTGCCCAGGGCTAGGGGTGAGCCAGTGTAGGGGACAAGCGGACAGTCACTACAGTGGGGTGGGGGCTGGCCTGGGGGTAGAGGGTTCTAGCACAGCCAGTTAAGAGTTGTGCTCTGGTCTGTCTCCTGAGCTCATGACACCTCCAGCCCCAGCCCCAGGCCTTCCTTGACCCTCTGCAGCCTTCTGTTCAGGATCCGTGTGCTGGGCAAGGCGATTTTGTGGTTGAAGAGATGAGATGAAGAACACCGAATGGGGGTGTAGTTTCTCCTGGAACAGGCTGAAACTAGCCACATTGACACCAGATCTCCCTTCACCTGCTCCCGGGGCTCACGAGGCATCGGTCTTCCTGGGCTGGGGGCATGGAGCACTCCTCTGAGGCTGGGGAGGGGCCTCTGCCAGCACCTCAGGTTTTGTCACTGCAGGGATTGCACGGGGAGCCCTCCTACTCCAGGCATCCCTTGTCACTTCTCACCTCTGCATTCTCCATGGGTGAATTGGCCTTGGCACCTGCCTTGACCCTGGGAGGCATTTCTCTGGCAGAGCTGAGGCTCTGACCAGCTGGGCCTTCTAGGCACTGCCTCCTGGTTGGCAACCAAATGGAATAAGCTGGAGTAGCCTGGAGCCTCCCCTCTCCCTGCCTGTTACCCCTTGTCTTGGCTCGTGTGGATAAGTCCCATGCTCTGGGGGCTGTGATTTGCCTTCGAGGGACTGCCCCTTGGAAGAGGTACTAGGGAGACATCAGTGGACTAAGTAGTCCTCCTGGGTTGGTAACTTTGGCTTCCTGTCCTCACCAGGCTCACCCACGACATCAGCTTGGAGGAGTTTGAGGATGAAGACCTCTCAGAGATCACCGAGGAGTGTGGCATCAGCCTGCAGTGCAAAGACACCCTGTCCTTGCGGGTAAGAGTGGGCTTTCAGGAGCCCCTGAGTGGGATGGCAGGATGGGTAGGGACAGGAGTGAAGGCATCCCCACACCTACAAAAGGACTTTCAGGGTCTGTATGGCATGCTCATTAAATGAAATGACATCCAAGAAACACATCCACTACAATGCGTGGCACATCTTGGGTGCTCGATCAGAATTTTTTTTTTTTTTGGGCCAGGGGCTAAGGCAAGAGGCAGCTCCTTCCACTGCTCACAAGAAGGGAGAGGACAGGAGGTCTTCAGATGTAGGGCAGTAGCAGTTAGGGCTAGAGTTAAGGGAAGGATCAGCACTACCCTAAACTGTTTCCAGAGCAGCCTTGGCAGAGGGCCTGAGGCAGAGCAGGGTGGAGTCTGTTAGAGTCTGCAGTGCTTTGGGACAGGAAAAAAGAGCCAAGGCACTCCCTCGGCTGCCATTGCACCAAATCACACCACATAGCCCCACAGACCCTCCCTGGACTGCAGTTCTAAAGGATCCTCTGGAGGGTTACCCTAGCATTGCTGCTGCTTTTGGCCTCCTGGCTTTGTCATAGGACAGATGGCTCTCTCCATTCCCTAAGTTCTGAATCCTGCCAGGGGGTCCTCAGCATGCGGGTAATTTGGGTCAGATAGGGATCCCCCTAGGTCTTTTCAGAACAGGAAGAAAGGAACCATTGGCCAGGAAATAGGAGGCAAAGCACGGGACTAGGTTGCAGAGTCCAGAGCTTCTGTCAGCACCCAGGAGGATGGGTGGCTAAAGTGGACATGGTATTAGAGGAGAATGGTTAGCAAAGGAGAGCTGCGGTGTGAGCTGGGTGGGGTGCCTGTCTCTGGGTTGAACTCCTGTTGCCTGTTACAGAGATTCTGTAAGCTCTGCCAGGCAAGGGGAAACCAAGGGATGAGGATAACCCTCCAGTACCCCCACGGCCAGGCCAGCAAGGGTGAGGAATGGTCCCAGGGCCTTGACATAGCTTCCCTAAGGTCATACACCTGTTCCGGAATCCAACACCACCCTTTCACCTAACATGCACCAGCAGAGTTTGGGAGAGGGTGGTCCCTGCCACCAGCCAGGGCCCTGAGGCAGTACTAGCTAGAGGTGTACCCTGTGGGGACTTAGACAAGTTCTAGGGGGCTTTCACACACTCTTGCCAGTAAGCCCTCACCTCTCTGGGAAGCTGGGAGACAGTTAACTGGAGAGGGAATTGAAGGGTCAGGGGATCTGTCCAAGGTGCCAGGGAGTTAGTGGCAGAGCTGAAACTAGACTGGGGCTCTGAATGATCAAGGTTAGGATGGCCCGAGAGAAAACCCAGGTTAGAGGGTCCTCGGACTGGGACTGTCGAGAGGTGCCGCGTGCCGGTGCCCCCACCTGCCCTTCCCCCCTCCCCCCCCCCCCCCCCCCCCACCCCCGCATCCTCTTCTCTGCAGCCTGTACTGCGGCCCTTCCTCCATCCTTCGCCTGGCTGGGACTGGTTTCCCAGTTTTCGTCACTGCCCCCTTCAAACACTAACCTCCCCCTCCTCCATCCCTTGTGGGGCCCGAACTCCTTGGCGACCCTGCGTCCCCATGGCAACAGCGGTGACCTCACTGGGCTCGGCTCCTTACAACCCCGGTGAGGTCACCGGCCGTTGCCAAGGGAACGGGAGGGTGCAGAGAAAGTCAGAAAGGGGCAGCGGCGGGGGGCGGCATAGACCGCCAAAAGGCGCCGACTGGCTTGGGGAGAGTCGGCTCGCAGTCCTGCGAGGGGCGAGGGCGGAGGGCGAAGCGCCCCTCTCCGCCAGCCACCTGCCCCTTCTCCCTTTGTGCCCTTTGCCGCGGGAATGGACTCGCCCGGGCGGTGGGGCGGTGCGCGGCGGCCTCGGCCCCGCCCCGACGCGGCCCCGCCCTGACGCCCTCCGTCCGTGGCACGCTTCCGCGCCGGGCTGCTGTCTGGGGGCGGCGGGAAGGCCAGCTGCAGGCCGAGATGCTGCAGATGGACCTGATCGACGCGGCGGGGGATTCAATCCCAGAAACCAGGAGCAACAACGAGGAGAAAACTGAGGCGCGCGGCGCGGCGGCCGGGAGCGGGGCCGCCTGAGGCCGAGCCCCGCCAAGAGCCGGCGCCCCGCGGCCAGGGCCAGGGCCAGGGCAGTGGGGACACATATCGGCCCAAGCGGCCCACCACGCTCAACCTCTTCCCGCAGGTGCCGCGGTCTCAGGTGAGGCGCGAGCAGCGTGGGGCGGGGCTGAAGGGGTGGTGCCCCGGGGACTGGGCGCGCGAGGCGTAGGGGGCGCAGAGCAACTCGCGGAGGAGGAGGGTGGGCAGGCCGGCAGGCTGGAGGCGCGAAGAGAGGCTGCGGGAGAGGGACCTGCTGGCCGGCACTGGGAGAAGTCGGCCTGGTGAGACTTCCCAAGTGGGAGGTCCCAGGGGAGGTGGTCTCGGTGGGCAGGTGGGATCTGCCCTAAAGGAGAGGAGCCAGGTGGGGCCGACAGGGTTTGGAGCCTCGTAGAGGGTTGAAGGAATGAAGGAGCCGAGGGGGACAGTGGAAGGATCTGGGTAAGGAGAGCAGTGGGGGCTTAGGAGAACAGAACAGTGCTTTGAGGGGTCGCAGGGATTTGGAGCTTTGGACCTCAGGCTGGAGCAGGGTTTCCCTTTTAGGGTGTGGGGCTCCTGGTGAAGGGCAGAAGCAGGGCCTGGAGAAGAGAGCAGCTAAAGTGGTCGTTTCCGGGAAAGGTCATGGGGAATTGTGAAGAGGTGGGGATGGGGAGCTCAGAAGCAGCCGCCAGTTTGAGATGTGGGCAGCTGGGAATTCCCAGAAGGCAGGGAAGAGACATGGGAGGTGGAGCTGCTTGGCTGAGTTGGGGGCCTGGGGCCCCTGGGCTGGGTGGCTGGATGCCAAGGAGGGTTGAATAGGGTGGGGGAGAGCCGGCTGTGGCCCTTTGTCTTCCAGGCCCCGGCTGGAGAGGTGTAGAGGAGGGGCCCAGGGAGGTGGGGCTGTTGGTGGAGGGTGCAGGGGGTGCAGGGAAAGGGACAGGGAAAGGATTGGTCCCTTTCCCAGAATCCTCTGGGGTGGATTTTGGCAGCCAGACTCATGAATGTGAGGGCCTATGAGAGTGTTCCCAGGGGAGAAGGCCTAAATAGTTCGTGGGGAGCCTCGTTGGCAGGCATTGTGGAGAGGGGTTCCAGGGCACCAATGATGTGGGATGGGCAGCCCTGGAGATCCAGGAAGGAAGGCCGCTGACAGCTACATCTGTCATAACTCAGTCATGTGCTCCTGGAGGGGTCTGGGAACCATGTTACTGATTCATCATTTGCATGATTCATCCCAGTTCCCCAGGCCAGCTGCTGGGAGACCCTTCCTCATCCTTTTTCCAGCTTCTACTAGAATGTCCCTGTCCCTTCCCTAAGCTATAGCTTGCTGAGCTCCAGGACTTGGCTGGAAGTGAGCATCTATATGTATAGCCTCAGTGTCTGGGACTGGGGGTCTGGCTCTGTCCCCAGATGGCTCCTGCTTCTCCTCCACTCCTCCCCCACTCACCACCACACATATTGGCCATCACTACCTTTGTTGAGGCTGATAAGAGCATCTCCCCCGAGGGCCAGCTTCCCTGAGCCAGGAGGGAGAGCCGTCTAGAGCCAGTAGGTCTGGCTGGGAGGGCTGGGACTTGGCCACCCCTCCTGCCTGCTCGAGGAGGGTTGGGGGTGCGTGCGCAGCAAATGGCCTAGGGATGGCCTGATGGGGGCAGGGCCGGGGCCTCCCTGTGCCGGGCACTGTTGACTGCTTCTGTCACAAGGGCCTTTTGTTTTCTGCACAGGACACACTGAATAATAATTCTCTGGGCAAGAAGCACAGTTGGCAGGATCGGGTGTCTCGATCATCCTCACCCCTGAAGACAGGTAAGTCAGGACCCTTTCCCGTACCTGGACCGCCACCTACCCTGTCTCACTTCCCCCTCTAGAGAGCCAGCCTGGCAGTTTCCGTCTTGCTGAGTTGAGGTGAACTGCCTGTCCCGTAGCCCTGAGCGGGCCCATCTGAAGTCAGCTGGGGTGGCAGTGAGAGAACTGGCCCCAGAGTCCACCGTGGCCTCGTGCCGGGGAGCCTTCACCTTGGTTTCTGTGTCCCGCATGCTGAGTGGAGGGGGCAGGTGGCCTGGGAGTCAGGGGCGAAGCTCCCCGCTTTTACCGCCGACACTGACCCACCTGCCCTCCAGGGGAGCAGACGCCACCACATGAACACATCTGCCTGAGCGATGAGCTGCCGCCCCCCAGCAGCCCCGCCACCACCAAGGATCGAGGCACCTCCACCGACAGCCCTTGCCGCCGCAGCGCCGCCACACAGATGGCACCTCCCGGTGGCCCCCCCGCTGCCCCACCGAGCAGCCGCGGCCACTCGCATCGAGACCGCATCCACTACCAGGCGGACGTGCGGCTAGAGGCCACCGAGGAGATCTACCTGACGCCGGTGCAGAGGCCCCCGGACCCTGCAGAGCCCACCTCCGCCTTCCTGCCGCCGGCTGAGAGCCGGATGTCGGTCAGCTCCGATCCAGACCCTGCCACCTACCCCTCCACTGCAGGGCGGCCGCACCCCTCCATCAGTGAGGAGGACGAGGGCTTCGACTGCTTGTCGTCTCCAGAGCGGGCCGAACCCCCGGGCGGAGGGTGGCGGGGGAGCCTGGGGGAGCCACCGCCGCCTCCGCGGGCCTCGCTGAGCTCGGACACCAGCGCCCTGTCCTACGACTCGGTCAAGTACACGCTGGTGGTGGACGAGCACGCGCAGCTGGAGCTGGTGAGCCTGCGGCCGTGCTTCGGAGACTACAGCGACGAGAGCGACTCGGCCACCGTCTATGACAACTGCGCCTCTGCCTCCTCGCCCTATGAGTCAGCCATTGGGGAGGAATATGAGGAGGCCCCCCGGCCGCGGCCCGCTGCCTGCCTCTCCGAGGACTCCACGCCCGACGAGCCCGACGTCCACTTCTCCAAGAAGTTCCTGAACGTCTTCATGAGTGGCCGCTCTCGCTCCTCCAGTGAGTCTGCAGCAGGAGCGGTGGGGGGCCTGGGAGGGGGAGAGGCGAATCGAGGGTGTTCCTGGAGGTGGCCTCACCCATCTGCTTCAAGGCACCAGGACCAAGAGCTTGCCACCTGCCCCCTAAACCTCGGCTAGAGGTGGGACCGTTCTCCTCCAGCCCATCCCCCTCACCTGCAGGTGCGGAGTCCTTCGGGCTCTTCTCCTGTGTCATCAACGGGGAGGAGCAGGAGCAGACACACCGGGCCATATTCAGGTAAGAGCAGCGGGGTCGGGCTGGCCAGGCGGCAGCGGGGACGCCCCCTCCCTGCTCTGCCATCACTGTGTGGCCTAGACCCAGCCCCTGGAGCTGGCGTTCAGCCCTCCGCTCGGCCCCAGGGGGATGGCGTCCACCGTGTCGGAACTCCCGAGCAGGGTGATGGTGCGATGGGTTTGTACGGCGTGGCCCTCCGCAGTGCTGCGCTGCCAGGCCCGGGGACGGAGCACCTAGTCTGGCTGGGGGGGCAGGAGCCCAGGAAGGTGCCCAGCAGAGACCATGCCTGACCGTACACAGGGCGCACCCCCCAGCCTCCTCCACAGAGAAGTGCTCACTTCCTGTTCCCTCTGTTTTACCAATGGCTCTGGGCACTTCCTCCCTCAGCCCACAAGTTCCTCGATGGCAGGTGTGTGTCTGCATGACCTCGCTCTTCCGCAGGGACCAGCACCGTTAACAGGCGCTCAGGAGACTTTGCACATGTTTATTGAATTAATGCTGCTCTTGCGGCGCCTGACCCCAGAGCGGGGTGGGGAGTAGACGGTTGGCCCGGCTGGGGAGGCCCTGGTGGTGAATTCCTCACGTGCCCTTGCCGGGGACAGGTTTGTGCCTCGACATGAAGACGAACTTGAGCTGGAGGTGGATGACCCGTTGCTGGTGGAGCTGCAGGCCGAGGACTACTGGTATGAGGCCTACAATATGCGCACAGGCGCCCGGGGCGTCTTTCCCGCCTACTATGCCATCGAGGTCACCAAGGAGCCTGAACACATGGCAGGTAGCGTCCTTTCCCCTACTCGGTGCCACCAGGCCCCGCCTCCGCCCTGGCCTCATGTGACCCACCGGGGAGGGCCCTCGCGGAGGTGACATTAGGTCCCTTTCACAACGGGAGAAGAGCGAGGCCCAGCTGAGCTGGGACGTCCGCGGACTGTGGCACCCTCTGCTGGCTCTGCCACTCCTCACTTCCCGCTTGCTTTCCAGCCCTGACCAAAAACAGCGACTGGGTGGACCAGTTCCGGGTGAAGTTCCTGGGCTCGGTACAGGTCCCCTATCACAAGGGCAACGACGTGCTCTGTGCTGCTATGCAAAAGGTGCCTGTTCCCCGCTCCCTTCGGATGGGCGCCCATCCCCAGCCCGGTCCCCGTCCTCTCCTGGGGAGAGGGACATCCAGCGCCTGATTTTCATCCCTCGCCCACAGATCGCCACCACCCGCCGGCTCACCGTGCACTTTAACCCGCCATCCAGCTGCGTCCTGGAGATCAGCGTGCGGGGTGTGAAGATAGGCGTCAAGGCTGATGACTCCCAGGAGGCCAAGGTGACCTCCCGGGTCCCAGCCCCCAGGCCCCCCCACCAGATGTCTGTAGCACCTGCATGCCACTGACCCCTGCTTCTCTTCTCCCTTCTGTAGGGGAATAAATGTAGCCACTTTTTCCAGTTAAAAAACATCTCTTTCTGTGGATACCATCCAAAGAACAACAAGTAAGTGGGAAGGGACAGAGATTGAAATGTCAAGGGGTGGCCTGGAGCTATCATGGTAGGACTTGGGCCTGCGAGTATGTGGGGGGAGGGGGGCTGAGCCCACGTCCTGTCCTCCCACAGGTACTTTGGGTTCATCACCAAGCACCCTGCTGACCACCGGTTTGCCTGCCACGTCTTTGTGTCCGAGGAGTCCACCAAAGCCCTGGCGGAATCCGTGGGGTATGTCCGCGTGTATGGATCCTGCCAAGCACCCGGCCCCAGAGCGCGCCCCTCATGCTTGGCCCACCCCAGTCCCCGCTGCCCTGCACACCTCGCGGCCTGGAGTCAGGGCTGGGTGGTGTCGAGGAGTGGCTCCCACACTTTTTGGCGGTTGGACCCTTCCTTGAATTGAAGCGGCACCCGGGAAGCTCAGTGTGTAGACGACAGAGCAGAGCAGCTCTGCCGGGGGAACTGGATCCCTACCCGGGGACCCCGAGGCTCCAGCCTGAAAACCTTGGGTGGAGATCCTGTTCGTCCCGTCACCTGTGTGTCTGCCTGCTTCCCAGGAGAGCGTTCCAGCAGTTCTACAAGCAGTTCGTGGAGTACACCTGCCCCACGGAAGACATCTACCTGGAGTAGCGGCGCTGCCCTGCCCTCTACATCCCCGGGCCCTCGGGCCAGCACCGGGCCAGCTGGCTGCTGACGGGACTCGGCACTGCTCGAGGAGGGGGGCCCATCACCACCAGAGGGTGGGGAAGTGGGGGCCTTTGGCGGAGGGGGGGGGAGGGCGGGGTTTATGGGGAGAGACGAACGCAGTTTATTGTAATATATGGGACTAGATTCATCTATGGAGGACGGAGCAGGCTGCCCGGGGATTGGGGAGGGGCGGGGCTGGAGGGGTGTCAGGCCTCTAGCCAAGAAGGATGCCCACGGTAGGAGCAGAGGGCTCTGTCCCGTCCTTGGCGTCACTTCCTTTGCCGGGGCCTCTGGCTCTCTGGCCGTGACTCCTGCCTCGACAAAGCCCACGTGCCACCTGCTGGTGCCCGCCCCGTCCCATCCCCAACTCCCAGCCCCAACCGAAGGCCCTGAGCTCAGGCTGAGCCCAACCACCTCCCGAGGACTTCGCAGTAAGGAAACGGCAGCAGGTGGGGGTGCAGTCCCTGTTCCCAGCTCCGTCACTTGTGTGGCCTCCGGGTGGCTGTCATGCTGGCCCCTGGCACGTGTGGGACCTCACCAGGGAAGGAGAGAGCTGCAGCGGGGCCCCGTCCCAGCAGGAAGAGGAGGCTTCTGGACCGGCCCGGGCCAGCCGGGGCCTCTTGGCTGCCCCAGCTGTAGCCCCACCTTGGTCCCGTCACCCTGGCCACAACTATTAAAGTGCCATTTCCTGTCTGGACCGCAGTGGGTGTGTCTGCCTGGGCCCCTCCCGCGCCCAGGTGGTGTCCATCCCAGGAAAGGCCGAGCCTTTGCTGCCCAGAATAGCTTTATAAGGGGCTCCCGTCACAGGTGTGCGTCGTAGTAATACTCTGCCATGTCTGGCCCGTCCCGCTTGCGCTGCTGGGCCTGGGAGAGCAGGGGTCGAGGCCCCCGTGGCCAGGGGTGCTTGGGTCGAATCCCATAGTCTGAGAAAAGAGGGTGTGCGTGGTAGGAGGACTCCACTGAAGTCCCCCCAACCCCCCGCCCCGGAACAGAGCTGTTCGGGCGGGATGAGAGGACCTAGAGGAGGGACCCGGGTGCCCCTCCCCTAGGGCATGTGTCCTGCATGGGGTGGGGGGAGGGGCGGGGCAGGGCAGGGCTGAGAGATACTACCATCCACCAGGCCGGAAAATGGCTGCGAGAGTTCTAGAGGGCCTGAAAATTCTTCAGGAACAGATCGCTGAGGCCTGTGGGAGATGTTGGGGTGCTCAGCGCTGGCCCTAAAGGCCACTACCACCTCCCCTGTCAAGGCCCAGGGTAGGGGACAGGGTGAGCCTCGACGCCCAGCATAATGGCACCAGCCTGTCCTCAGGGGAGGGGAGAGGGAGGCAGCATGGCAGAGCCACCCACCTTCCAGGCCCCCGGCCCTGTGGACCCCCGACCCTTTGACCCCGGGAGATACCTCGGTGGCTGGGGGCCGAGGAGTGCGGCTGCCAAGACGAGGTCCAGGAGGAAGAGGCTCAGCCCGGCCCTGGGGTACAGAGCCCCCAGCATGGCGAGAACCATCTCCTCAGGTCCCTGACCCTGGCTTCTGCCTGCCCCTCCCCCAGCAGGACGGAACCACTGCCAACTCCCAGGGCCACCTCACAAAGGGCATTAGTTCCAGGGCTCGGTGTCACTGCCCAAGAGTTCAAGGGCACAAACCTTTGGAGTCTGATCTCGGTTCAAACCCCAGCCTTGCCTCTTGCTAGGTGGACGTCACATTCGCGGGCCTCAGTTTCCTCATCTGTGAGGTGTACATACGTATGTGCCCAACGTGTGGCACACGGGGAGGTCACGCAGAGCCCCAGCCGTCCCCACCTGCTCTCCCTCAGCGATGCCAGGACTGTCTGCCAGAGCAGGCCGCTCGACCTGCTCAGAGATGCCACTGGCAGTGAGCCCGCTCCGAGGGACCTCCCCACTGTTCCCCAAAGCTTTCAGTGCCGTGGCCCCAGGGCTCCACGGGTCCTGCCACCGCTCCCGAGGCGGGGCAGGGAGGGTCCAAGTTTGGTGGCAAAGCCTGCCACCTGCGCCCCGGAGTGGAAGCTTGCCAAGGGTAGGAACTGGTTTTGTTCACTGCAGGACCCCCAACCACCACCGGCGGACGTTCAATAAATGTGTTGAATGAACCAATGCAGTGTGACAGCATGCAGACAGGCTCTTCTCAGGCTGAGAGCCCGCTATGGGGCCCTTTCTTTGACTCCCGCTCAGCCCCGTTAGTGCCACGCAGACCCGGCTCACTTCGGAATCTCAGAGACTTTAAACACGAGACCCTCGGCCCCACTCCAGACCCGTGGAATCAGACCCCGAGGGCCGAGTGGGGCTCTGCACTTTGGAAACACGGCCGCTTCTAAGACGGCGACCTACTGGGGGTCCAGCCCCACCCTGGTAACTGCCAAGGTGCCCAAGGCCCAGAGAGGGACGGCCCGGGCTCCTGGTCCTCAGTGCCCCAAGGCTGACAAGCCCTGGTGTCTCAGTCCAGACTGTCCTCGTGTGCTGAGCCCACACACTAAGCTCCCCGTGGTCATCTCCCTTTCTGCATCTTGCACACAACTGTCCCTCACAAACCTGTGCCGGGACCCTCCGTCCTCACCACAGTTCGCCACCGCTGGGAACCACGGGTTCTGGACACTGCCCAACTCAGTCCCTCGTCGCGCACCCTCCTTGCCTCTGAGATGCTAGTCTTCCCCTCTATCCACAACGGGTCCCAAGGCATGCCTGGGTTCCACCTACACCCTGCCATCGCCCTGCCACGACCTTAGTCCGGCCCCATTCTGCCGCCAGGGTCACCGTGCTCCCCCTCCAGCATGGTCTGCCACCAGCACCCCTGCACCAGGCCACTGGGTCTGTTCGGGGTTTCTTTAATGTTTCTTTTTTGGGGCTCCTGGGTGGCTCAAGTCAGCGAAGCGTCCGACTTCGGCCCAGTTCACCATCTCACAGTTTGTGAGTTTGAGCCCCGTGTCGGTCTCTCTGCTGTCAGCGCGGGGCCTGCTTCAGACTCTGTCCCCCTCTCTCTGCCCCTCCCCTACAGGTCCTCTCTCTCCATATATGTAAACTTAAAAAAAAAAAAA